AAAGTTTTTTTTAGAGTAAGAGCAATAAGGATATGAAATTCTCTGCCTGAAGAGGTGGTTTTATCAGAGTCCATACAGATGTTTAAACAGCAATTGGATAAATACTTCCAAAAACATACAGGGATATCATTTCTAATTAGTGGGGTAATAACTGCTTGATCCAAGGAGATATCTGACTGCCATTTTGGGGTCAAGAAGGATTTTTTTCCTAGTTTGTTGCAAAAGTGGAAGCACTTCAGACTGGGTTTTTTGCCTTCTTTTGGATCAACAGCAAAAACATATGTGAGGAAGGCTGAACTTGATGGACGCAAATCTCTTTTCAGCTATATAACTATGTAACTATGTAACATTTAGTGACTGTGTTTTAGCCATCAATCATCTTTTTTCCTCATCAATCATCTCTTTACTTGGCGCCATGGGCGGTACTCTGAAACACTAAACAAATATTATATAACTTTTTTATCATCCTTGAACCCACTGTCATTGGAATGGGGGAACAAAGCATTAGTGAGTAAAATTAAATGAGGGTTTAAATGGGAAAGTTAGTATTTTCTACTTTTTTTTTTTAATTCTTTTTATTTTTTACTTTTTTTTGTTAAAGTGTTCATCCACTCCTATTTCAGAGTATGAGACTGAGCAGTACATTTCATATCCCTCTGGCATTTAAAGGGTAGATTTATGACATCACAAAAAAACAGCACATTGACTAATCCATACTGCAGTCTATAAGAGTAATAAGCAATATCATAAAACCATTTTTGTTATTAGTAACGTGTTTGTAATTATCTTTATACGTTGCGTATATATATTTTCACTTAACACATCCTAGTCACAATACTTCAACAATATTTTTATTTCAAATTTATTATCTATGCTAATGCTAACAAAATGTTTTTTAAACCCTGTTTTTCTATTGTTACATAGAACCGATGATTTGATATACTCATCCTGCCGAGTTTAATTGCTGTGTCCTGCCATTGTGTCAGTTTAAAATACAGTTGAGAATTAATCACTCTGCAGCATTTTATTCATTAATGTTGACATATATGAAACCAAATGACCACATTTATTATTGATGCAAGACTGCAGAGAGATTTAAAATCATATACAATAAGCATCCCCAGGTCAATTCACAATGTACAGACAGTTCTGTTTTCCCAATTCACAAATGCTACTTTTGGCGTATGTGGCAGGGTCTCTCTAACAGTGGAGTTATTCTATATACTACATTCTGTATTCATTTAAGTCGGTCAAAAGGCAGTCTTGTCTTCCTGGCTATTAACCAATTCAGATCACTGTAGTGTAAAATAACTTCCAATTCATTAATCAACGCCAATGTATATGTTTATTATGATTACATAAAGGCCAAGTTTAGAAAAAGTATCAATAGATGCGGTAACAGTGCTGTGGAATATGCTGGCTCTATATAAATAATAATATAATAATATATGCATGGGTAATATATATATATGTATATACAAACTATTAAATATCATTGTGGATGAATTATCATTTATATCCCATGACTAGTCTACCATGTGGAATATGAACAGACAAGTCATAATGTTCTATTTCTGCTGCATCAGGCCGTCATATACTGTTCCTCGGCTGAAAGTGGTTTTGGCTGGTGAGTGACATTGCTGTACGCATTGCGTCATTGTTTACTAGACAGAGGTTTGTTTGAAATCAGACTGGAAAACTGGAAAAAAATTGTTTTAGCAAAAATACCAACTGATTCATCCCCGTTTGCATTTCAGATAAGGAGCCGCGACGCTCCATAAACCATTTGTGTGTCAACTAATAACATACAGCTGCCCATTAATGACATACAGTCTACTCAATCACATGTTAGTGCATTAAGTGGAAATAAAAATATGATGGCAAAAATGATATGTGTGTAAGTCATATGGTTTGTTCTCATATTACAATTAGTAACGATAATTATATGTAGAAGTAGTTCTGCGGGGGGAAAAAAAGTTCTTCCTTTTGTATTAAGTGTGTGTCATAGTATAGTGTAGTGCAATATTGAAACGCTCATTCTGTTGAAGGAATTAATCTGTGAAGTAAAAATACATTTATATCTTTGGTTACATAATCAGTAAATTGCAAAATTTGTATTTCCAATAAAAGGAAACTGCAACCAATTTTACTGGCATATGTATAAAGAATTTCATAATAAATGTTACAAAAAAGAAGAGCTACTTCTAGCGTGCGGTGGTAGAAAATGATATGATTAACGAATTATTAAAAACACACTTTACTAAATACAGTATAGTATTGTGATTCCATGTCATTCTCTGGCACTACCAATTCCCAGAATTGAAGCACGTCCCCAAGTGGTATAACCACTAACAATAAAAATGCTAGAGCCAGAGCTTAAAGAAAAACAAAAAGAACAAAATACAAACAAACAAAAAAAAACAAAATAAAATGACAAAAAAACAGATTTCAAGTATAGAAGTCCAATTAAAGTCCCACATTTTGAATAAATATCCTCTTGAGAATCAATCAAATGCGAGCTGTTCTATGAGGTATAGCTGATCTGTAAGAAAGCGCAGCACACCATAGTGCTTACCATTAAAAACAAACCCTTTATTGCACAAGTAAAAATCCACTTACAAGAACCAAAATGATTAAAAGCATTCCAGGAGTGAATCTCCTTGCAAATGTCCCAATGACAGCAACATTTGGTCAAATTTCCTCTGGCGTCTAACAGGCTAGATGCCGGCAGAGTCAAGCCTGTTGTTCGATGGATATTGGTGCCAAATCTTGGCATGCATTCCAAGTAGCGTTCGACTGTAACATTTAAAGCCATTCCAAAGACAATAAAAAGACAGTGCAGATAAAAATTCAATCACAAATAAATGTAAACAAAGAAGGGGTGTTATAGGTATAAAGGAGATGGATGCGGTGTGTAAAAGTGTCTGAGGTATATGCTGGAAAATTGGGAATATCCATAAGAGCACAAGGTTATCAAATAAAATCAGTTAAAATCAGTTATAGTGTAGCAAACTGGAGAGATATCTCAAGGTTAGAATTAGAAAAAAAGAGAAATAAGGATAACCATAGAAATAGCCATAAATGCAAAAGTAAAAAGATAAAATTAAAATAAAGATCAAAAATAAGAATGATGTACACAAAGAAGTAAAATGAGTATGAATAAAAAAGCAAAAACAAAAAAACACTAATCAAAAAAAGGCATTTAGTTCAAAATCAAGGTTAAGATGCTTGGGTTTATTCAGTTCCCTATCAATCTTCCAATTTCTCCAATGGACACAGAGTTTCTTTGTTACTATAAATCATTTTCCTTGTGACTTCTAATTATGAAAAAGACTGAAGTGTTTGGTGACATTGTACGACTGGAGCCCCTTTCGAATATTTGTGACGTGTTCTATAATGCACACTTTTAAGGCTCTTTTGGTCCTTCTACTGTATTGATTGCCACATGGGCATTCTAACATGTATGACTCTCTGCAGTTACAGGATAGAAAGACATTTTCTGGTAGAGTTACAGATAAATCATTGAATCCTCTTAGTTTTGCAAGGATCCATGCGACACCCTTCACAGTCAGTGCATTTAAAAAAGCCAACTTTTAGGGAAACTAATGGAAAAATAAGTTAAGGTTTGGTGGGACATAGGAGATCTTGAGTTTCACATTGTCAATAACATTGCACCTAGAGATGTAAGGCTTTTAAAATAATTAACTTGTACAAATAATGATGAAATAATGAATCATGGATAATCTGTTAGACAAAGGATCCGTTCTTCTTATGGTCTTTCTTATTCATGAGGAGAATAAAAGATATTGAGATGATTGAAGCAAACATTAATTCTTCAAAACATACGCAGAACCATTTGATAAATTGAAACATTGAAAAGAATTGGAGTATCAAATTAAAATAAGAAAAATAGGTAAAATTTATAGAGATAAAGAAGATTATGCCTTCAATAGATAAAGATGTTGGAGAAAATGATCTTTTCAAAGCTCTTTATTTAGTTTTATCCATAAACTTACCCCAGTAATGTTTTTACACTCAGGCAGTGACGAGTGACTGTATTAGGGTATTTGAAATATTGGTTGAGAAGGATTTTAAGGATCTCAGAACCAGGGCCAGCTTTAGCAACTTAAGTGCCCAGTGCAAAAGATCTTCACAGCACCCCATCCCAAGTCATACCCTTTCATCCATGTATAGTGTGTGTATAGGGGAGTAGTGTTTGTACAGGATTTTATTAAATTAATAATTATTTAAAAACAAATATTTGTTTCCACTGTTGTTACCTTACAATGAGTGGGCATGCTGATCTCTGGTGGTCCAGTGTTCTAGGAATCTAGTCTGCCCCTCCACCGGGTGCAGACCAAGAGCTCAGGCTCTTACTGTTTTCTGATTGGCCAGAGCTCAGAAGACAGCTAGAAGACAGCTAGTTATAGTCTGCAGTCAACAGGTGCAAGCCAGAGGTGCCAGATTGCCTCCTGGCTTTAAAGAGAAGCAGACTAAGTATTATGTACCGCTGTCACATAAAACAGTGAGTTGCTTTGCTTTAGAGCTCTGGATGTTCCGTATTTACCTTGACCTCCTTGGAATGAAATCTCATAGTAGTGTGCTGTTTATCCATTTATTATCCATTTATTACTGTACTCCACAGCACACAAAAAAACCTCACAGTACAATGTGGTAGGTACCAGTTTATCACAGTCCTCCAGAACAATAAAACACAAAGTAATGTGCAGTGTATGAGTATGTCTCAGAGCTACACAAGAATATAACTCCCCATAATGTATGTGTGTGATAAGCGGGATGTGTGTGTGATATTTGTAATTGGTGTATTGACTGTGTATATGTGTGTATTAGCTGTGTGTTATATTTGTGCTGTGTTTGCTGGCAGAGTGTGATGGGTATTTCATTCAGATAAAAATATGCATGTATAACGATAAAGCTGTAAAACACGACCAAAAAGCCTCCACAAGCCGGGGAAAAACCTGTGGAAGTACCAGCACACAATGGGGAAACACTCCCGAAAACCCAGAGGACCGCCCGCGGGACAAACCCACGATATCGGGCAACTCCTGTCCCGGGCATACAGGCCCAAAATGGTGGACGCCTTCCAAGACATGGGGATGGAGTCGCTCTCGGCCTCAGAAGATGAATACCTGAGTGATATGCCGACCCAGCTGCCCCAACGGAGGCAACAGACTGCACCACCAAGGCAAACGGAACAACCATTAGCCACTAAGGTCGATCTATCGAGCATGGTAACAGACTTTTTAGCCTTTTTCACAACGGAACTGGCAGGCCTCAAGACAGAGCTGAGCACACTTACAGGCCGCATACGAGCCACGGAAGAAGTGGTCCAAGACCTGAAGGCCCAGCAAGACGTCATGGCTAATCAAACGCAGGAGCTAGCAGCCACATGCACACAGCTGAACGCTCAAGTAGGGCAGCTGGAAGATATGGCAAGGCAGAAAAACCTAAAGGTGAGAGGGATACCAGACACTGTCTCAGCGGACGACCTGCTGCACCTCATTAAGAGACTGCTCCAGGCTGCCCTGCCACCAAAACAGGCTAAAAGCATGACCTTAGGTGGCCTATTTCGCATACCTGGTCGCCTGCGCAACGCGCCTGACTCTGATTCACATAGATATAATTAGTGTTAGTGATGACACTGTAGCGTGCAAAATGTTGCATTATAAAGAAACTTTACGGGAAGGGGGATAGGGTACAGAAGAAAAATGGGGAGAGGTGTTAGGGGAAAGAGCTTTTTAATTTAGCATTGAGCATTGTGTCCGGCCTGAGGGCTCACCCTTGGGATCATCCCTAGCCGCCATAGCTTAAGCGCGCTCCCAGGGCATGCACCCAGACCTGCCCTCTTACCTGGGAGGACAGGATCGGTCATTAACACAACCTTGTTGATCCCCCCGCCAGCAATAGACAGCACAGGCAAAGTTTCACCACCTACTTTCTCTCAACTTGTTATACAACCGTATCTAGTTCATGACTTACTTACTAAAAAATATGCAAGCAAAACATGTCACAATTTCTGTTTAATTATGCTGATCGAGCCTGTAAATGCTATTGTGGCAAGACAGGCACTGTTGAACCAACCTGCATAACAAAAATATTAAATAATAAAAAAATATGCATGTAGGCCCATGTCTTAATGCAGGTGTGTAGTTTTACAAAGTTGCATGCAAACAGTCCCACAGTCAGATGCACACTGTTATACACAAACATTGTCAAATACAGCCACATGTACACAGTCCCAGACACAGTCATACACACAGTTACAGGTATATAGACAAACACCAAGTTACAGGCAGCCACACACAGTTACAAGTAGTCATAAACAAACAGGTACAGGTAGAATGTCACACACAGGTAAAGACAGAGCACACACACACACACAGAGAGAGTTATAGACAGTCACACACACAGTTACAGACAGTTACCTTTTTACATGATGTGGCTGGGGGAGGGAATTCAGGCACTGCTTCCCCATCAGTGTGCAGCAATAACCAAGCAGCGGGTTCAAGCCACATTTAGCTCCGCTGCCCATTTAGCTTTGTCCCGCCTCCCATTTACCTAGTTAGCCCATTTAGCCCTCACCCACTGCCGTATTAGGTTCTCTGATTGAGAATAAGGAAACCCTCCTCCTGGTCCAGCTACATAGTGCAACCTGCTTTATAGTGGTGCTCTGTGCACATCCTTCACACCTGTCACCCAGGGCATGTGCAAACTGTGTCAGTCGCATGGGTCCCCTTCTTTCCCTTTTAAAATAAGGTCTTGCAATAGGAATCCTCAACAAAAATGAATTTGATTATGTTTATAAAAAGATCCTAGGCCCCTGGTTTTTACCATCTCCCTAAGATACCTAAACAACGTAATAATCCTTCTGGGAGACCAATCATTTCAGGGATTAGCTCCCTAACCTCCAATCTCTCCGAGTATGTTGATACCTTTTTACAAAAAGAGGTAGTTAAGTTTAAATACCACCCAGATCATCAACACTTTGACAGGTTGGACAGATGAATACATATTGGTGACTGCAGATGCCACCTCCCTATATACTTTAATCGAAAAGCTACAGAAATGTGAGGTCATACAATACTCATTGACCGCCTATTCCGAACTAAAAATATTGTTAGATATGTAGCTTTCATCCTCACTCACAACTACTGTTGGAACAATAGTGTTTTCTATTTACAAGTGGAGGGTAATGCAATGGGGACTACGTTTGCGCCAAGCTATGCCATTCTTTTTATGGGCAAGTGGGAAAATGAATTAATCTGGAACACTTGCCCCTCTGGTGCAAATATGGTTCTTTTTTAAAAGGTACATTGATGATTGCATTTTTATCTGGAAAGGGAGCATTGATCCCATTGAAGTTTTTTGTTTTTTTTTCAAATATCTCAATTTTAATCCCTATAATCTTAGGTTTACTTTTAATCAGTCCAAAGAAAAGATTGGGTTTTTAGACTTTTTTATATTAAGGAATAAATTTAGATTTATAAATTTATATTAAGGAAGGTCGTCTTTTACAAAGACCTTCAGGCAAACAGTCAAATGCAACAGTTTTATTTCTGCTCAGAGGTACCTTCAGCCAACTCAGGAGAATAAGTCATAAGTGTTCCAAAACCCTGATTAGTAAGATTTAGAGGCTGGGGATGAGACATCAATTCTTAACAAAGGGCTACAAAACAGATCTGCTAGATGCAGCCATGAAAAGAGCATTGGCACTACCTAGATCCCATATTTTAACCTAACTACGACCAAACATTTCATATTGATTTTAATACACAAGCTTGTATTACTAGAGTTAGTATTACATCATTAATAAATCGTTGGAATATACTAAGTTGGGATCCAGAACATATGTAATAAGCACAGGTTGATTTTTTTTAGAGCTCCCAACTTAAAACCCATGCTGGCTCCCATGATTAAAAACCGACCTAGGAACACTAAGATAGATAATGAACTAAAATGCTTTTTAAATGTGCTAACTGTGAAGGCTGTTGCATGGATACTTGCAAAAGTTAGAGGATACAACTATTTAACTGTAACTCTGCCAGAAAAGGCTTTACTATCCAGTCACATTTGAATTGCAATTCCACAAGAGTCATATATACATGTTAGAATGCCCCTGTGGCAAGCAGTACATTGGAAGGACCATAAAAGCCTTAAAAGTGTGCATTAATGGCTTTTTTTTTTAACTGATTTGTGTTTGTTTTTTTATTCATACTCATATTTACTTTTATGTGTACCTCATTCTTATGTTTTAATGTTTTTATAATTTAATATGTTTTATTGTCATTTTTTACTTTAAATAATTTTTTTACTTTAATTTTATTTTTATAACTTATTTTTCACTTTTATTTTTTTATCTTTATATTCATATTTATTTCCATTTTTATCTTTATTTTTACTTTTCTATTTCTGACTATTTATATTTTGCTTATTATCCCCAATTTTGTTTCTTGTTTTTACTTTGGGATGTCCCTCCAGTGTGCTAAACTATAGCTGGTTTTAGTAAAGATTTTTTTTATTATAGCTGATTTTAACTGATTTTTTTGAGGATTTATCTAATGTTAAACAACAAGTGTACAATTTTGATTCAAGCAACATTTCTTAATGTACAATCGATTACAAGGACATCAGAAAATCGCTTAAGGTATAACAGCGGAGACATTATCTGCTTTTCTATTCACATAGATATAATTAGTGTTAGTGATGACACTGTAGCGTGCAAAATGTTGCATTATAAAGTAACTTTACGGGAAGGGGGATAGGGTACAGAAGAAAAACGGGGAGAGGTGTTAGGGGAAAGAGCTTTTTAATTTAGCATTGAGCATTGTGTCCGACCTGAGGGCTCACCCTTGGGATCATCCCTTAGCTATAAGTGCCTGGAGGCAATGGCCCGTCAGTTGATGTCTACCCAGGGTCTCTGTGTTTTGTCTTTGTGTCATTTGTTGCAATCCCTGTAGTTGGGGCCGGGGCTGAAGGGGTGTAGTACTTTGACCATGAACTCCAGGTCTCCTGGAAAGTTTATACTGTTGAGCAGATTCCAAGGACTTTCGCTCATATGTGTAATATAAGTGAATTTTGTCGTGGAGTTGTGGCACTGTTTCCAGTGCGTGGCAATGAGATTCCTTGCCGCCAACACAAAAATGTATAACATCTGTTTAGCCAACTTGGGCAGTCGAGGAGGGAGTGATTACATCGCCTAATTTGTGTAACAATGCCAGTGCAAAAGCTTTACCCTGAAATGCAGTCTGCTTGCTATGCGGTCCATCCTTTTTTAAATAGGTATAGGGTTCATTGTTGACATAGCATTGCAACAGGAGAAAGTGTCCTGCCCTATCACCTACTTTTTTGACCCTGATGAAGGAGACAACTCCAGTGATTAAAATTGACACCCCCCGTTTTTTCTTTTTATAACAGGCATGAAAGTCATGCGGATAGTGTTTGGAAATAAATATGGGTCTATTACCCCATTTAAAGTAGATTTCCTATTACATGATCGTTGGCCTTCTTCGCTTCTGACAGTGCCAGCCTATGCTTGTGGGGAGAATTGAGGCCTTTGACGTTTATAGAAACAACATTAAGTGCCATGGTATTGTTTTGCAGCCCTCTTTTTATGGTACACTGTGATAAGGCCAGGTTCATAGTCGCAGGAGCCGCTCACATCACTCAGACCCAAAAACAATGTACACTTTGACATTTCAAATCTTAACATATGAAACGCTTGCACATAGCAATATAGCACACATACAGTCATCCCTCCAGTGGGCAACAAACCAGGGATGCGCCTTGCAGGCCTCTCATATAGGGACATCCTTCCTTCTATATGGACCCAGGGTAGACACTTCACAACTCGGACATTTCTGCTTAGTGGGGTGGCGGGGGGTAGGTAAGGTAACAGGAAAACGGGCAGCATGCCCATAAGGTAAAATGCAACTATATACATTCTGCCGTCGTGGGAGGTGTGCTGTCATACAGACGGTGGTGACATGACTCGTTAGAGCGTGTTGGGGGTTGGCAGCTATCTGCGCTGGAGACCAAAAATATTCTTGTATTAGCAATATGTGGTAATTGCCATTTTAGCCTTCAGTTAGGGGCTACAATATTTTTTTTATTTTTGGATAATGTGGTTTGGGCGAAACAACATTTTCTGCTGTGCACAAGTCAAGTTATTAGAAACTTGGTGTAACTGTTTGACGTCATATTCTGGCTCCCAGCTACAGCAGACAGCCAGCGCGGCGAGAGGAAGCAGAGAGCACACAGCTCCCTCGCCGCTTGTTGTATGGAGATAGGCGCCCGACACACTGGACCCCAGGGACAAGTCCACCCCAGCTCTCCAGGTAGGGAAGCTGGGTGGACAATTTTTAATTAAACAAAAAAAATTGTGAATGTGTGTGTGTATGTGTGTGAGTGTCTG